CATCACATGTCTGGACCAGCTAGATGCTTATATGCAAAGTAACTGAACTAATTAAATTTGTTATGCTGACATTTTGTCACTTTCAAAGGGAAATACATCATTCACTATCTAATTTGTAAGGTTGGATGAGACTGCTGGCTTTAATCTGGGAGTTGGATTTGTTGGAACTTTTGTTTTAGTATTTAGTATAAAGTATTTCTATCAAGATATTTCTCTAGAGCTCTGGTTGCTTATTTAGATAGCTATTGTGAATATCATGAATAGTATTGGCCTTTTCTATTTGAGGAGTCTTAAAGTTGTAATTTTTCAGATATTCCATAAACGAATGCCTCTGGAAGCAATAGATCTTACATCACGCCTTCTCCAATACTCTCCAAGTTTTCGCTGCACTGCAGTAAGTCTTCTCCGCAACTTCCCTTAAAAATAATGATGTGTTTGCCAGCATGACTAGATTATGGTCTAATTTTCTTGTACAACAAGATTTAGGTATTTTTTTTGTGCCTTGCCAATAGAAGGTAGTGAAATGGTAAAATGCTGTTGACTTTTTGAGGGACTGAAGCCCTTTATTTTATGTGATCTAATAACTAGTGAAATATGATATGATATGATATGATATTCCTCTCTGTTATAGTTAACTTAATATTTTTCTATTACAGCTGGAAGCATGTGCTCACCCCTTTTTTGATGAGCTGCGGGAACCAAATGCAAGGTTGCCAAATGGTCGTCCTCTGCCTCCTCTTTTTAACTTCAAACAAGAAGTAAGTTAAAACATCTCCATGGGCCGTCTGCCGCATTAATGCTTCTCCCTTGAAACTAATTTCATTTAGATCATATCCGAAGCTGTCTTTAATGTTCATCATTACTTGTGCTGCAAAATCCTGGTTAGCCATTTCCAGGTGTATCTGAATTTGCAAAAGTCATTACTTCCAAAAAAAGAAACTAGGACAATTAGAAGCACTTTGAGCAATATTATTAGCGCTAGTATGACAACTGGTTCCTCAATTCAGACATCTTGCTATTAGCAATGTGTCATCGACTTAAAAACAGCCATGCATTATATAATACTTTTGTTGTCTTCTGACCCCTTCTATGTGATTGCACCTATTATTGTTTCAAAAATCTTCAGCTTTAAGAGGTTAAATGATTGGTTTGAATGATTTCTTAAGTTTGTAGTTTAGCTTTTAGAAAATATCTTTAATTAGCTATGCTAGATATGTCAAAAGTTTCAATTGCTTCTGGAATATATTCGTGGGCCAATAGTATTGTAGGGAATTTTGGCTTTGGTCTGTTTGATTGATTACTTGTTACTGTGGTTAAGAATATTTATCTCATAAAAGGATAATTCTGGTCTTTTTTTTCTGCTTTCATTTTAATCAGTGAACCAAATGGTGGTGGATTATCCAAAGATAGAAATGAAACACCAAAAAGAACCTGTGGTAAATGTATCTTCTTAATTCAGATCAAGTAATCCTGGCTACAACTTTTGCAGTTATCAGGTGCATCACCAGAGCTCATCGACAAGCTGATTCCGGAACATGTGAGGCGCCAATCTGGTCTCAGTTTCTTGCAAATGCCTGGGACGTAAAACTACAAACACTTCAGATGTGATAGTCAAAAGCAAGTGGAACATGGTTTTCACTGCCCTTGAGGAAGTCTGCCAGTGCGAGTGCTCGATGGCAGCGGGAGCGTCTGCAGTTGAGCTTCTGGGAAGGGGTTGTTGCTTCTTCCCTATCTTCTTACCGATCTCCCAAGCCTTGTATATTGTAAGATGTTAGGATCATTGTAATGTAGTCGCTGTCAATCCCTCGGGATCAGATTGTATCTTGTATGATAGGACAACCTTTGCAACGCATATGAACTCTGGCTTCTTCCACGTTGACCCCCATGGAGTCTCGTCGCTTTGACTCTACTCGTTAGACGGTACAAGCGACGCAGCTCCATCGTCTCATTGAGATTGTTTCTCTTGGTGATACTTGGATATCTTTGTCATTGTACTTGTTTTCATGTTCTCTTTTTACTTTTTGGTAAAAGATAAGTTACGTAGGCAGGTCTGTTGGACCAATGATCATGGCAAACTCTTTATCAATTAAATTGGTTAACATCTTTTTATATTAATTTATATCTTATTATCGGTTTTACTAAAATGTTTTGTTAGTGTAAAAAGTATGCTTTTTTTGCTCAGGGGTCGAATTCGCATACTGCGTCACTATGGTAGGTTGAATCAAGTAGGTATTTGACTTGAATCCATTACACTTTTATCATACAAATAATGGATGTAATTGTACAAATATAGGTTAAGAAATGTTTAATCTGTATAGGAGAACATTCTTTAACATTCCTTTGAGTCAAATTTCTACTAATTTATACAGTATAAAATTTATGTTTGCACATAGCCATGAGTATCTTGTTTATTCATTATTCATGAAATATTATAAAGATTACCCATGTCCCTTACTGTGACCGTTTATTAATATTATAAATATTATAAAGATTACGCATGACCTGCAATATATCTTAGAAGATTTCTTGAAGATTTTCATCAAAAATAAAAACATAAATTGTAATGACAAAGGATATAACTTTTTACGGAAGAATGAAGCATATAGAGATAAGCTATCATTTCATCCAGAATCTTATAACAGGTGGAGTCATAATAATAAAAAGTGATAAAAGTGATTTCGACGATTCAAATCGAAACTGTGTTCGTTTGATAAAAGTGATTTCGGTATGAAAGCCAATTCGTAAACTACTTTAACTTGAGATGAAGCGAGATGCAGTTAAAGCAAAGATACAAAGGCAGTTTGCGGTTTATGATGGAAATCAGAATATAAGCGCAAACTGAAATACGAC